CGTGTCACATTTTCACGCCATTATGGCGCATTTTTATGTATTTACGTACGCGAGCATCGTGTAGCCTGTGCCATAGGCTACACGCCGCTTTAATAGCGGCATGCAAGTCTCTAAAAGCATATTTCCACTAATGCCATATATAGAAAAATCATGCACATGATGCACATATAATACTGCTTGACCTCTATGCCTACAAACATTCCAAAAAACACTTAGAAAATGCTAAAAACAGTATTCAAAAATATGGAACTTACACACCATTGACATGTTCAGCTCTGCATGAGCCAACTGCGCATGTGTGGAGACAAGTTCACACGCTTCTTAAGCCAAGAAACACAAGCACGCCGATTCTTCACGATTTCTTGGTAAATAGAATAAATGCGCGCGACTGGGACATAGTTTTTAGCAGCGTGTTCACACGCAACTATTATTCCAACCATTCTGTACTGTCCAGAGGTGTTTGTTTTTGAAAACTTATTTCCTCTTGGCAGTTTTTAAGTGTTCCTCATTCCACTTATGGAGAGACTTTCATTATTTTTTGTACTACCTAATTAATGTCCCAACAACATGAGTGCATCACAGTTTAGACAAAAATTGTTAGCTCATGCATTTACATTCTTGCATTCATCAACGCAAGCAACACAACGTACAGCTAATTTACACAACATCGCCATGCAATGATCTATTGGAGTCCGTCCGTCCCATCCGTCCGTCCGTCCCCAATAATAAGCAAAATTCTTCCCTTTTCACAATCATATATGCTGATATTTAGAGGGGAGGTTGGAAAAGGGCTATGCAAGCACAGGAAGGATGTTCAAAGTCCATATCATCTGAGGCAAGATTTGAACCAGGGGCACAGGTGCTGCAAGGCAGTAGCTCTAACCCCTAAGCCACTGTGCTGAGCCATGTGCATTGTGATAAGCATTGTGATAAGCATTGTGATAAGCATTGTGATGAGCATTGTGATGAGCATTGTGATGAGCATTGTGCTCATGAATGTTAGAATTAGATATTTCCCCTCCTTGGAGGTGGCTCAGAAACAGTAAGCAGTTTAAACTAAAATGTCCGATTACAATAAGCAATATATTTCCATTTCAACAATCATAATGCCAATAAATATTCTCATGAGGCAATCCTTTAAGGAGTAGCCAGGAAGTAGTGCCTAACACGTAGATGATAACGCGCCGTCCGCGCGTGTTGACAGCATTAACAGGCGTGTGCATTGCCGCCATTGATTTACGCCTATTAACCCGCTTTCGCGCAATACGCCTATGTGCGCATGCGCGCAATACAGGTGTGTTTTTGCATGGCGTGTTTATACATCAACCCCACTGATTCAGTGGGAAACACAGGTATGCTATGCCAGAAGAGCAATTACAGAGACTAAGTTAGACTAAGAAAAAGTTATAATTGGTATTGATTACCAAATATATATCTGATCACAACGTTCCAATTTTTATGTCAGCCACACTGTCAGTGTAACAGTCCATTAAAGCTAAAATTTTGGCAAATATTCTGTTTTAAAAAACATTAAAGTACAACTTTTAAGCACCAAGTTGCTGTGTTGCTGCAAAGCTGAATTGTCACAGCTCATTCTCAAGGCAGAGGCGGAGGGGGGTCAGTGGACACAGAGGTGGTGAGAAAGGTGGGCACGGTGGCAGGGGAAGAGCTGGAGGGGGGTCAGTGCACACAGTGGGGGGAGAAGAGAGACATGGACCAGTGACAAGTAGAGAGCTGCCCAAGGCTGGCAGCGGTAGCAAGATCGCAGGAGGAGAAGTCGGGTGAGGTCTGTACCCCATAGCTACACACAGAGGCGGTGGAGAGAAAAGAGAGACGGGGGCCAGTGACAAGTAGAGAGCTGCCCAAGGCTGGCAGCAGCGGCAGAAGGAGAGGTCAGGTGTGCTCTGTACCCCATAGCTGGGATTAGAGGTCAAGTAAGCTCTGTACCCCATATCTGGGATTAGAGGTCCGGTGGGCTCTCTAACCCATAGCTGGGATGGGAGGTTTGGTCTGTACCCCATTAGATGAGAAGTCAGGTGAGCTCTGTACCCCACAGCTGAGTTTAAAGGTCAGGTCAGTGGCAGAGCAGGCTGGCTAGTGTTCCAAGCCTCTAGATAGAGAAGGCATGGGGGCGGGGCAGAGGAGGAAAAGGGTGGGGCAGAGGATGAATGGGGTGGGGCAGAGGAGGAAGGAGGCAGGACAGAGGTGGAACGGGCTGGCAAAGGGCTGGGACAGTGACTGCAGCGGAGGTAAGAGGGGTGGCAACAGGGGAACGCAGTGACAGTCTCTTCTCCCCGCTGCTCTGTATGCCCGCTGCCTATGCCGATACAGGTGGGGATTGAAAGGGACACAGACTGCTGCAGCCAGCACCAGCGGGGACAAGAACGGACGAGCAGAGTGGCGGTGGCAGTGCTGCAAATAATCGATAATGAGAATCGTTGACAACAGGCCTTTACATTTCCCAACTTGGGTGGCCCCGGTTACCGCCGACATTGCAGGTTACCGGACCCCCCTTCCTTCATTCTGGGGCCCATCAATCTTTCACACTGACTGGACCGTGTGTATCACAAAGCTCCACAGCAATAAAACACAATAATGTGCCGTGTGGATGATGGGCCCATTTTAATGACAGTAATGTGCCAAATGTTGTTTGTCAGATGTGCTGCCACAAAAGCATCAGGATGTGTAAATACAAAGGCACAATTGCTGTTATACATAACAAACAACTGCAATGTAATGTATTATTACAATAAGCAACACCTTATTTTCTGGCAGTGCCCCTCCCTAGACTCTGGATCTGCTCCTGGGGCAGTATATAAGTGGGGTTGTAGAAGTCCACTTTCCTGCAGTAAAACCTTTAATGCACGAAAAGGTATTTCAGAGAGAAACAAGATTACTTATGGTGAACCTTTTATCAAGCTTCAAGAACACGCTATTCAATACCCCCTCCATGCGTCATAAAACCAGCATAAAGTATACAGTAGTAGCCTACCTTTACATGAGCTCTGAATACAGATAGGCATTCAGCATTCCTGTTTTGCAAGCTTTGTTAACTATGTGCTGTCAGTGCTCTTCCAGCAGGACCCCAGTGGTACCACTTCCAATCATCAGAGTAGTGAGACATGATGTAATGCCTAAGGCTGGGTTCACACCTAGGCGTATCGAATATGCGCGTTTGTCGCGCGTTTCGTGACGCACGTTTTTACCGTTCGAACGCGCTACAAAACGCCCAGGTGTGAACCAGGCCTAAGGCCCGGTTCACACCTGGGCGTTTTGTAGCGCGTTCCTATGCTCTGCAAAACGTTCAAACACCAAAATCCCATTATTTCCTATGGGTATGGTTCACACCTGGGCGTATTACAGGCCATATGAACGCGCTACAAAACGCCCTACGCCCAAAGAAGTACAGTAGCTTCTTTGGGGCGTTTTTGCCACGCGTATCCATCAGGATACAGCCAGGTAGCCCTCGGAAACCCGGTAAAAACGTGTGCCACGAAACGCACGACAAACGCGCATATTCGATACGCCTAGGTGTGAACCCAGCCTAAAGCTGATCATACACCTATAGTTTTTCTGCAGATTTTATATAGCCAGATGGAAAAAGTGCAACAGATTCCTTCATCTACGCTAAACTGTGTGGATGGAGGAATCTCCCACTGGGCCAAGCTTCAGTATCTTGCTAATCGACCCCGCTGGCTCTCAAAGTACCTGAACAATCTGATTGGATGCAGACATTGTTCAGGTATTTTGAGAGCCAGCGGAGTCGACGAGCAAGATACTGAAGCTTGGCCCAGTAGGAGATTCCTCCTTCCACACAGTGTATCGTAGATGGAGGAATGTGTTGCACTTTTTCCACTTGACCATGGAAAATCTGCAGATAATCTATAGGTGTATGGTCAGCTTAGGTTTGAGGCATGTGTGAAAGTAACTATAATATTAAGCCACTTTGTAAGGTGAAACCACTCACTTAAAACCAAAACTCCAGGGAAGCAGCTACATACACATATGAGGATGTAAATCTTTGTAGCCAGTGTCTTGATCCAGACACCCATAATACCCTTGACAAATAGCCACATCCTAGGCCTTCACTGCAACAGCAGCATAGCTTGTTCTAGAACATTGGTCGAAACTCACTCAAGCCAAGCAGCAGCATGTTGATGAAATCATCTCTCTGCTCACACTGTTCTCTCCTCCTGTCAGTACATGTGTACTCTAAGCACACCATCTGACCCTCCCTCTCTCTTACTAAATACTGCTGTGCAGGGTGAAAAGAGGAATCTGAAATCAAGACAGTGCAGTTTCATTTAAAAATACTGTACATTAAATATTTTTGGATGAATACTCAACATATACAGTTTTAAGATGTTTTTATTTATTTTTCACAGAATATGTTGACCCTTTTTGAAGACTACCAAGAAAGTAGCATATGAATAATAACCATATATTTACATGTTTCAGTAATAAAGAAACAGTAGCCCCTTACTGTTATGAAAGCATAAGTTAGGGCATCTAGTACTTTATACAGGCACAATAAGCGGCATACGTAGTTTTACAGCAGATGACAAGCTGTTGGATCTCTAGGGTTCAGGTAAATATGCTCTGTTCTGAACACTACCTTTTGCATACAAGTGCAGTGCAACTCCAACACATCTATTGAAGCACAAATTAGCGTTTTCTCTAGACACAGTACATGCATTTTGACTCTTTTGCAAGTCCTGGCAAAGATGCAAGCCACGGGGCACTGTTTGATCTGCTTTTGCATGCGACTAAGCAACAGCAGAGGATCTGAAAAGGGTTGGTGGCATCCTAAAAAGTAACAAGCAAAGCATGTAAAATGTATCCTCAAATGGTCATCAACAGCCCATAGTCAATTGAAATCTACAGTGATTAAAGCACACATCAAAGTCAAGTGCAGACATATAGAGCACATCTACACTAGCCTGAATGATAATGATAAGAGGAAAATTGCTATTGATTACAGCAAACATGCTCTGTCTTACCCCATTAGCTGCTGCCATCTGAACAATGATCTCTGTGGCGGTCTTACTGAAGTACCTGCCATCACTGCCCACCACCATGGTGCAGCCCTGGCGGTCCCGAAGGTCTATAGAGGACAGCACACTTTGGATGAAGTTCTGCAGATAGTTCCTTTTACTTTCAAACACTGCTGTTGGCTTTCTAAACCCATTGCTCCCTGGCTTCTGGTCATCATAGGGGACTGTCTGGACTGTAACTACAGGAATCGGATTTATTTCCATGATCTCCCTTCCAATGTATCCCTGTCTTTTTCTCTACTCCACTGTTGTGCAAAGGAAATAATGCAAGCCAACTGTCAGAAAAATAAAGGGGATGCCGAGAGAGAGGGGCGAATTCAGCTCCTCCCTGCCTAAGCTTCCACTGCTGTAAATTGTTTCCTCTGAACTTCTGATAGTCCTGGAAATCTCAGTCTTCAAATTTACCAAGTGTTTCCTCTTGTCACTGTCAGTGCCGTAAAAATCCAGCAGTGAACACAGCTGAGAGATTCACTTTGTTTCAGTTATAAGAAGCATAAGATCCAGTGTGACTTCTATCTTCTTTCTGAACTTCAGAGAAGTCTTCTTTAAGTGTGTCAGCCTGCAGATCACTGAGTGATGATGATGAGCTTCTAAAGTTCAGTGCAAGCCCTCTACAGTTACTGTCTACCTCCTCCCAAGCCTTATCCCTCACATCACCCTCCCTCTCCTGAATCATGAGCCTGTACAATGCATAACAAATGTAAGTCTTTGAACAAGGACAAGGGTTTGCCAAAAAACTGGGAGGGCTAAACCTTTGCAATCAACAGAAGCCTATGCCAAAAATAGCCCAGTAAAAAAATGAAGCTGAGAATTGTTGTCCTTTGGCTGTGTAACTGGATGCTGTTTTGTATGCTCAAACATTTGTTCAAGGGGATCAAACCCTGTCAGCCTTTATGCAGAACACATTTCACACACTATAGTGCTGGGTGTTTGCGTATAATATATTCAGATACATTAAACAAATCGAGCATGTGCACACGATAACTATATAAACTGATTATAAATCATTTATTTCTTAACGTTCTCAGCAAATTGTTTGCCGCTAATTAAATATGAGGTTTTCAGCTACAGGATCATTTTAGAGTTGGGGGCTCCTTGCCAAGCAACTACATAAACTTAGAGCATGATTTGCTAATGTTATGCTGACACAGTTGACTGGTACTCATTTCAAACCTCCTTACAAGTTTCTGTGCACTTTATGGGTTGCTTGAAGGTAGCCATTAAAACAAATCTGCCAGCAGTAGAATATTAGCGATTTTTAATGCATGCTTTTTGCGACAATTTATGTAAAGCTGAACTTAAAAAAATCATGTGTACCCCCCTCCTCGCTGGTGTATTCAGGATCTAATGTTCATTTAGTCTACAGGACATGTAATAAATATAAATATTTACTTATTCCTTGGTCCCACAGGCTTCCTGCCCACCGTTCCTCTTCCCCAGTCATGTTGGTTACTCTCTAGTCCCTGTTTCTGCATTGTACATGATAATGTTAAGAGCCCAGCCACATTCTGGGGCGGGTGTGAAAAAGACTGGCTGCTGCGGGACTGAGAAATAAGGTAAGTACTTCTCCCTGTTACATGTTTTGATTTTTTTTTATTTTTTTTATTTAAAAAAAATGTATCAGAAAAGTAAAGCCAAACCTGTTCTTTTGGGCCACGGAGATACATTTACTAATGCCTGCTATCAGCTGGCAGTGCAGAGCTGCATTATAGCTGAGATAGATTCCGACTATATTGTCAGGATCCCCTTTGGCTGTCTAAAAGACAGCTGGATCTGGATTTAGAACCCCTTGTGTGGAGAAAAGACCAAGAGCTGAGTGATCAGAGGTTAGATGATCGCTCAGCTCTCAGTATAGAACCAGCATGGGACAGCTGCAGTGCCCTTACGCTGGCTCTAGGCAATGGGGAGAGTATGTTTTACTCTCCCAATATTCTGCTTTAAGTGAATAGTGGTTTTATGTATTTTTTCTTTTTTTAGCTCAGGAAAAAAAAAAAATCAAATACATTTTTAAAATAATAATAATAATATAATAATAAAATAATAAAGGTTACACATTAAGACTGAATATTTTATATTTTGATATCCAACCCCTCAGGTGGAGCCCTAGGCTCCTTTTCACATGATTGCCGCTCTATTCTTAGGTGTTTTGTTGTATAAAGCCTTTTGTCTACAGAGCTAAATACTAGGGATGCACCGATACCAATACCAGTATTGGTATCGATGCTGAGTATTCGGGTGAGTACTTGCTCTGATACTTATCCCGATACCGGAACAGTGCCACGAGGAAGCATCGAGCCGACTTCCTAGCCAATCAGGCGGGTCATGACCTGCCTTCCAGTTGCCTGATTGGCTATCAAGCCGGCCTCATTTGTTTCTAGGCAGCCTGGCTTCCTGTCCAACCAGGAATCCTGGCGGCACATCATGACCCAATGCCCGGCTTCCTGATTGGTCAGGAATCCAGGCGGCCTCGTGGTGTCGCGAGGGAACGTGAAGCCGGTGTTCTTTCGATCGATTTGCACATATAATTGAAAGAGTCAGAACAGTGACTCACCCCCCTTTTCTGATCTGTTCAATGAAGGCCTATGAAGTTCTGAACGGCTGAATGAGAGGAAATCACTCAATTCCCCCATCCACACTAAACAGCATGACTGGAGGAATCTCCAGTGACTTTTTTTGTAATCATAAATAAAAGTAATTCACCGGCACACACTTGAAGGGTTTTTAAAGTATTGATATGTTTATTCAATACCCAATGTCACATACTGTCATACGGTGCTAACGTTTCGGGTCCACACAGGGATCCTTCATCAGAGCGACAGTGACCGTATGACAGTATGTGACATTGGGTATTGAATAAACATATCAATACTTTAAAAACCCTTCAAGTGTGTGCCGGTGAATTACTTTTATTTACTATTAGTGCTTTGCACGGCGCCATCCGTGTGGTCACCTGGGCACCACATATACCTTGTGGTTTTGAGACCGTGGCAGTGCGCATGGGATTTGGACTTTGTTTTTGTAATCAGACAGCCGTGATACCCAAACCGTGACTGCATCTTAATGAAAGAAGTTGCTGTTCAAATCCTGCGCTGGCAAGTTCTTACCAACAACAGGATTGCCTGCATGACATGGCCCTAAGAGTTGGATGCGTCCTGTGGAATTTGTCAAGTCAGCAATTTTCCATACTCTCTGTACAGAATGGGCCTCAGTCGGTATGTCTATTAATGTGATTTTCAATTCCAGATACAATTTAGAGATAATGGGGTGAAGGGGAATCACACAGAAAAAAACAGGGGGCATATATACCCTATACATTAGCATCAATTAAATGAGAACTATGGGTTCAGGGCTTTTCCCCATAGTTCTCCTTAGGGTAACGGGAGGACACAAACTAGCGTCCTCCCGTCACCCTAAGCTCAGTATACTGAGATGCCGCAGTATACCGCGAGCTGCAGCTTGCTGTATACTGAGACGCCGCAGCTGAAGCGCATCCTGACAATTATGTATGGATCCGCCCAGCTGCGTGAGTGACAGCTGGCTCTGCCTATCTAGAGGCAGAGCCAGCTGTACCCGCCCCCTCCCCCGTCCGATCCCACCAGTCAGCACTGGAGAATCGGAGCGGGGAGGGGGAATCCAGTCCCTCCCCTGCCACGGCAGAGAGCCGTGACAGGACCGAGAAGTGAGCGAACGCCGGTATGTGTTCGTTCACTTCCCGATCTACTGACCCGACCTGTGACAGTCTCATTGTCACAGGCCGGCTAGAACTATGAGGTGAGTGAAAAGCACTCGCCTCATAGTTCCCCTTTAAGGAACAAGTGTTCAAGTCCTCAGCTAAACATTTTGCAAAGTTTTCTAACTGTTGTCTGCTCTTGTTGTCTTTAGAAACAATCTAAATAGTTGCTATTGGCAACAAGAGTGTTTCCCATAACACCATAACATAGTCCTTTTATATCAGCGCATAAGTCATTCTGTCTAATACTCAGAATAAAAGATGGAATGTCACATCTTTAGCACACTGGAAAAAGCAGCCTCAAGGAACATTTGTACTACCGGGCTCAGTTTCCATTGGTAAAGTACATATTGTGCAAAATCCCCTTTGTCAGTGTGCTATGTCTACATTTTGAATCTGCGTACTGTAACATTTATGATTTGTATTGCTATGCATTTGATACACACTGCTAAGTCAGCTGTACAACGTCCATGGATTCACTGTACCTTTTACTTAATTTGTTAAAACAATATGCCAAAACAAATCCTTTGTAAAGGAAATTCTGCTCCATCCAATTAGAAAGATTATGCACGTTCCCTTAGACCTCTGCAGGAAATTAAAACACATAGGGGTATGCATTAGTATAGAGATCAGTGCATTAAAAGTTATACACAGTTAAACAGAGAGGACGGGCTTTTAATCTCCTTAATCTTCACAGCTCATTTATATTAAACACATACACCGTTGACTGGAAATACTTGTGTGCATATAGAGCGTTCATTTATCATACCTCCCTGCATAAGCAGCATGTGAGAAAGCTGGCTTATTTCAGCTGTCTTCTAATTCTCTGTAACATGGGCAAGAGAAGTTCAGAGACCACTGCTTCTGTAAGTTTACAAACATTTACTACTTCACATGTCTTATGCATGGAGACTTAAAAAAAAAAAAAAACTGTCTGGGTCGCTTAAAAGCATTAACGCTAACACGTGCTAAATGCACTTCAGTTGACATGTGTTGGATGATGTGCAATATTTATTTTTTGGTTTACAGTAGGAGCCAAAATACTTTTTTTCCCCTTTATGCGCTTTCCAATATTCTCCAACACATACAGTCATGTGAAAAAAAAATGTACACCATCTTTGAATTCTATGGTTTAAGTATCTGGTCCCCAGCAGGTCTATGAATCAGGTAAATACAACCTCAGATGAACAACAACACATGATATATTACACTGTGTCATTATTTATTTTACAAACATAAAGCCAAAATGGAGAAGCCATGTGTGAAAAACTAAGTACACCTTATGACTGCATAGCTTGTACCACCTTTAGCAACAATAACTTGAAGTAATCGTTTTCCATATGACTCTATAAGTCTCTCACCTCGTTGTTGAGGAATTTTGTCCCACTCTTTTTTACAATGTTGTTTCAGTTCATTGAGGTTTGCGGACATTTGTTTATGCACAGCTGGTGTTAATTAGCCCTTTATATTCTTCAAATTTGATATTGTTTTGGTTTCGTTAAGCTGTGATGCCACTTGCAATCCCATGTTTGCTTTCCAATCACGATATCCCTGGTTAATGACGTTATTATACTGGGGTATTCAAATGTAGGACACCTCTACATTTCAGTTACGATCTGTTTAGTGGAGATAAGAATATAGTTACATAGTTACATAGTATTTGGGGTTGAATAAAGACATACGTCCATCAAGTCCAACCCATATAGGTCCACGCATCATCTCATTCTTAGGGATACTGGTATCCCTGGATATCATTCATAAATTGAGAGATGATTAGTCTGCAATGTTTGAAATTCAAATTGGACCAAGCCATTTAACTGGAGGCAGGGATAAGCTCACTTTTAGTTGTGTGTGAAGAAGTTTGAGTCAAAGGTCACATCTGGCAGTTTGCCCCTGAC